GAGCAGCCCGCCGGTCTGTACCGGTCCTTGGAGGGGTTCGTATCCCTCGGGACAGTCGAGTCGTCAGACACAGATCATCAGCCCGGTAGGGGAGTGGCTCAACCAGGCCTCAACACTTAAAGACGACCTTCGTTTCAGCCTACAGCTCGGAGTTCAGACCCTCCACACTGAACTCAGTAGACCTGCCGGACAGTACCGGTCATTGGGCTAGACGAGTTGTTTAACGGGCGCTCGCCGCTCATGCCCATGTCTCCAAGTATAAGAGTAGAGCTTAGGTCCTACTACGCCCGTGCAGGTTTGGCAGCAAGGCCCTATCCTTCATCCACAGAGTCCTACTACCTAAGACAGAAGAAACTCAATGCAGAAAGAGTAGACAGACAACTCAGCAAGTACCGTGGGGTAAGTGCACATCCACAGGGTAAGGGGAAAGGCTGAAGGGTCAACGAGATATCACCAATTCCAGCTTGGTCAAAATCTTGGGCAGCAGCTCCGATCAACGCCTTGGTCAACGCCGAGTCAACGTGGTCAACCCCGGTCAGCGCTTGGTCAACACCCTTGGTCAACGCCTGGTCAACCCTCGGGTCAACCCTCGGTCAACCCTCGGTCAACCCTCTGGTCAACGGTCTGGTCAACGCCCGGTCAACCCTCAACCTCAGCTATGGCTGCCGGCACCATCACCTTTGCCACCCTTCGCCGTCTTCTTCCCCTTCCTTCACTTTCTTTCTTCTTCTCCTTTTTTTTTTTTTTACACACCCTCGGCTATGTCTGTCTTCTTCTTCATTCTCCTCCTTCCATACTTCTTCTTCTCTCTCCTCAGTCCCTCCTTTTCTGTCCTCCCTTTCTCTCTCCTCCGGTACTCTGTATTGATACTCCGCGGCTATGGCCGCCGTCTTCCTCTTCCACCGGACTCCACCGCTCAACTCATAGGTATGTGACAACCAATCTTGGATCGCTCATCTCTCTCTCTCTCTCTCTCTCTCTCTCTCTCTCTCTCTCTTTCTCGCCGTAGTGGTATCTTCAGCGCAGCAGGTAAGTAACCAATCTTGTATCACTCATCTCTCTCTCTCATGGTCTTCTTGTTGCAGGTGTGCGGCTTCTCCTTCCACCTCGAGGTCCGCTATGGCGGACTACCTCCTCCGGCGGCACTTCAACTATGGTCGATCGGTCCTGCACACATAGCGCGCATGGAACAGCGGGTACCAGCTCCGATACCAGTGCAATCAAACTCGTCTTCCTGTCACTTTGTCATGCCTGCAAACAGCGGTACAGCAACTGGCGACATGCGCCCACACAGTACTCAAGATATCGTAGCCACATATGAGTTCTCTTCAACTGGCTATGACGACTGGGCGCCCACACAACTCACTGTTCGCACTCTGGATCACCCTGGATGTCCCACACGCAACACTCAGTATCATACACAACACACACACATACTATGCTACAGCTATGGCAGCGCTAGCTGCCTCTACCCTATCGCTACACTACACTTCTCTGCCCACTTCGTCTTCGGGCGCACTGCAGACCGCCTCGCACAAGCTGCTAAGGCAGCGCTTCCGCGTGGCATCCGCAGGAATGAATCCATGAATGGACGTAGCCTCTTGATTTATACTTCTGTGCTGCATTGGTCTGCCCTGTGTCCCTGGCCCATGGTGCACACAGTTCCCCCCGTGGTACTTGCTGGACCGGACTGGTACTTTCTAGACTCTCCCTTGACTGTATGACGACGACCCTGCTTTAGTCACACCACTTGCCCACTTGCTTGCACCACTTAACCACTTGCCTGCACCACTTGACCACTTGCCTGCACC